AATTTCTTATAAATTCCAAGTCGGGAATTATTGGAATATTTAACTGATTGCGCAGACGGCGTCGGGTCCTTCTGCGCTCTAAGCATTCTTCGCGAGAAGCGGCGGTGATTAAAAAAAATCGCGATGCCATTTTTTATTAAAAACACAATTTAAATCTCACTACGAAAATGAAAAGGTAGCACTATTGGTTTCGTCAATTTGAGGTTAAAATATCGAACAAGGAATTGTCAAATTCAAATTTTCGTTCGGATCATTTGTGAATTAGAGTAGGTTTAGAACATTTAAATGTTAAACAATTTCGAGCGAACGAATATTTGAAACGAATAAGAATTAGAGTAAGAAACGTGCGAAATTTGATCGAAATTTCGTTTTTCGTTGAAATAGAGTAGGCCTCCTGTGATGTTCACTTCCGAAGATATTCCCTGACGATGCCGGCCGCATGGGCTCTTGCATTATCATGCATTAAAAGGAAATTTGGGCCCATATAGTCCGCGTATGGTATCACGTGAGGTTCAAGCACTCACGAATGTACCTTTCAGCATTTAATGTTGGCAGCCGTGGTCTTGTAACAACCTCAAGTTGAGTTTTGCCGCTCGCGGATATACCGCCCCAGACAGCCCATGAACCACCGCCATAAGCAACCCTCTCTTCAAAGCAGCATTGTGCGAAACGCTCTCCCTTACGTCGGTAGACTTTCTTCCTTCCATCATTGCCATGTAACACAATTTTAGACTCATCAGAAAAGAGTACACGGCTCCAATCTTGCTGTGTCCAATTTAAATGACTGGGTGCGAAATGAAGGCGCGCTGTTCGGTGGGTTCGCGTTAGTTTGGGCCCATTACTTTTTTTTTTTTATTATTAAGGTATGCAAATGACTCTACCCCACCTGATGTTAAGTGGTAATAAAGTCCAAACGCGAAGATAGCTGGTACAGCAGTTATAAACTGCTACACCAATCATCCTCACCTTGCCGGCCTGCAAAAATGCTTCTTCACGCCTCTCTTATAGGACCCCAGGTTATAGGAAGGAGGGAACACTTGCGCGGGTAAAGAATTCCACTTACGAATAGTACGACAAAGAAATGAGTCACCAAATTTCTTTGTTCGTGTAGGAATAGTGGCCACAGTAAGTCGGTGGCAACGAAGGCCAGCGCGCGTGGTCCCTGCATAGCAATGAATATTCGCAAGTGGAATCAAATCATTGATATGCAGCAGAAAGAGTGTAGGGGATAGAACGGAGCCCTGAGGAATACCGGCATTCACTGACATGAACTGCGAACTACATCCGTCTGTAAGGACACGAATTCTACGTTCACGCAGGAAGTCAGCTACCCAGGCGCAGAGCTGAGCAGGCAGACCATATGCAGGAAGCTTGGAGAGAAGGCTTTTGTGCCAGACCCTGTCAAAAGCCTTGGCGATGTCAAGGCTAATAGCCAGAGACTCTCCCCGCTTGTCTATAGCTTCACCCCAGATGTGTGTCACGTACGCTAGAAGGTCACCCGTCGATCGATTCGGCCTAAATCCGTATTGATGATCGTGAATCAGAGAGTAATCTTCTAGGTAGCGGGTCAGATGGTTGTTAAGGACCCTTTCTAAGACTTTACACAACACTGAGGTGACAGCTATCGGCCGATAGTTAGCTGGGTCTGAGCGGTCCCCTTTTTTGGGCACCGGTTGCACATTGGCATCCCTCCATGCCTCCGGCATACGCCCCAAAGAGTAAGAGAGTTGGTACAGGCGCGTAAGCACGGGAGACAACTCCGCTGCACAATGTTTTAGCACAACTGCTGGGATGCCATCGGGTCCACTAGCTTTCCGGGCGTCGAGTGATTGCAACTCCGCACGAACATCACGTTGCCTGATTTTAATGTCAGGCATCGTAGTGCCACAATGAGGAAGTGTAGGTGGCAGTGCATTGCAATCACTGATTCGGGAGTTAGCCGCAAAGAGTTTTGCCAACAAATCAGCTTTCTCTTGCGGCTCATGAGCTAGTGACCCATCTGGACATCGCAGAGGTAGCAGCGAGGGCTGGCAGAAGTTGTGCTGCACGGCCTTAGCCAAACGCCAAAAACTACGGGAGCCCGTAGGGTGCGTTAACAATTCGTGGCCGGTATGTGCTACACGTTGGACATCCGCTGTGATGTAAGCTTTTTTGCAAGACTTGGAAGCATTATTATAGGCAGCTTTCAGTGAGTCAACCCCGGGATCTTTAAGAGCGCGGCCTCTGGTCCAAGCGCGATGTGCCGCCTGCTTACGAGAAACAGCATCAGCACAGTCACGATTGACCCAGCGGTTACGTGTGCCCTTACTGATGAGATCAGAATGTGGAATGTAATACTCCATTCCCATTAAGATGTCCTCAGTAATAGCAACGGACAGCCTGGTCGATAAGTCCTTTTCACTGAAGCAGCGCTGCTTCCAAGGGATGGACGCAAAGTAGTCACGCATACCATCCCAGTCTGCCGACCCATAGTGCCAGACCCTGCGTTTAACCACCAATGGTCGAGGGGTCTTGGCCTGTGGCACCTTGGCAGATATCAGGCAATGATCTGATGAACCCAGTGGGGCTCGAACCACAACCTGATACTCCTGCGGATGACTCGTAAGCAGAAGGTCTAGCAAAGAAGGCGCTTGACTTGCTATATCTGGGATCCTGGTGGGCTGATCAACCAGTTGTGACAAATCATGCGTGAGAGCAAATGCATGGGCAGATATCCCTGCATGGTCAGTTTTGGAGGAGCCCAGCCACAAACCATGATGACCCCCAAAAACACCAGTTCTGCGTTGGGAAATTGCGCCTGGGCATCATCTGCTGCCCTACTAAGGTGGTCAAACAGTCGAGTTGTCTCAGCGTCGCCGGTGTGGGATCTATAGAGGCACACGTAGACTCTGGCCAAAGGGCCTACTAAGAGTCTACATGTACCGCCAACATGGAGAAGGAGGGGTCTATCAGGCAGCTCAAACGGCGACAACAAACATCCGCCCGAACATACAGGCATACGCCGGCTTTTGCTTTGAAGGATTCTTCAAGCACGTAGCCGGGATAATTAAGGTAGCCTGTGTCAGTGGGCGGAAGTATTTGTGTCTCCGTGAGAAACAATAATGCTGGCCGTGCTGTCTCAAGATGGTGGTGGACAGCATTGAGGTTAGAGTGGAGTCCGCGTATATTACAGAACTCAATCTCAAACAGCGCCGAAGGCGTGGGGGTGTGCACCGTTGTACAACCAAATTTCGTTTTACGGGCTGCAATCATGCGAAAAAATTGAGAGACGTGAATCGAGTGGAGTTAGTCGCGACAAAGTCAGGCAAAAATGTGGAGGGCACCCCCCCCCCCCCCCGGGAGTGGCCGCCGGGACCCCACGCCCCGGTCACCAACCGGCACGACGGTCCACCCCGAGATTATGCGTGACATGATAGGGCAGCCTCGCGAACTGGTTAGGAACGCTCGGGCCCCTGTACTGTGCCACGGGCGGCCAGCGGGACAGCCGTTTCTACGGGTCTCCCTGGCCGGCGGGTCGATGCAGTCCTTCCGGCATCGGTTCGATGGATGCCTCCACTAGACCGAATCCGTCGCGGCAATCCCCACTCGAGCTCTGGTTGTACGCTGGCTGATCCCGAAACGCGCGTAAAGCACTTCACGGGTTTTTCGCCATGCGTACGGTGGTAACAAACCAGGCGGGTGTTAGGCACCCTACCACCAGAAGAGCGGATGGAAGCTCCGATATCCCTTAGTCGCTTCTTACGACACCCGCGGGAAGTGATGGGGCGGTGAGTGGTATTCTTTGTCCGTCACCGCACGGATAAAAATGCCTTAATAAGCTGGCTTGCGAAGAAAAAAAACGCGATATGGAACCAACCATATCGCGTTCTTTTAACCTTCTCCGAACAGTTCAAGCGCTCACAGATACTCCGTGGAAGTCGCGAATTTGTTTTTGTATCTCAATGGAGGTAAGGTGACGATTTCTCGAGCTGGTCGTCACGATGAATCGATCCTGCCTTTCAGTTGTGACCCGAGATCGTGGCCTTCCTTGGCGACGAACAAAGCCGCCAGTCTCTAGGTACCTCCGATAAACATTTCGGACCGCAGATCGACTAAATTAAGTTGAGCACTCACGTTTCTTTGGCTGTGTCCGGCCTGAATAAGTGCCACAGCTTGGGCGACGACTTCAGGTGAAGTATCCATAGATTATTGATAGAACCTCACCTTAATGTTAAGAATAAGTAATGTTTGTTGCAAAACCATAGATATCAATCACTTTTTCAAGAATTAAATCCAAGCAAACCAAGTTTTCTTAGTATTCGATTGTTTGATATCAACAAACAGGCTCCAAATTGTCTTTTGTTTCTTTAAATTCTGTGTTCGAAATTCAAAAAAAGACTATTGAATGAAATTGTGAATGTGCCAGGTTCAAAACTGCATAAAAACTTTTTGCTCGACCTAATATAAAATTTTAGCTAGGACCAAACGAAACTGAAAATACAAGGTGGGCCAATAGATGTGTCCAGAAGTGTAGTTACACGATTACATACCCGTCATAGATGCTGTTCGCCCATAAACATCGTCCAAATCCCACAAAATTCGTCCAGCTTGGTAGTCTTCGAAACATCGCTGGAAAACTTTAAAAATCACTTCCCGCGTGCCACTCCGATTTACTTTACTCATTTTTATACCTTTCTGCGTAGTTTCGTCTTAATTTATTACAGTTTAATCCAAACAATAAAAAATACAAAAGGAAAACTGTTCCACAACTGAAACTCGATGACAGCTGATGTACATAAGTTTGATGTTGCCAGACACATGAATAATGTTAGTTCCTCAAACATTAATGTCACGACTTTATAGACAAACTGTAAGTTTAGGTTTAGAGAATCATGCCAGAATCTTTTTTGAACTTTTGATTTAATGCACCTAGAGCATAGGTTTTTGAACGTAGCTCTGATCATAGAGACGACTGAGAGGAAATGTTATTGTCAAAAAAGTCAAAATACTGAAATAGGTAATAGGTAGGTACGTAAAACCTCTGATTAAGTATCCTAAAACAGTTGCATAACTTTTGAGGAGTTCTATTTATTTCATAAAGCTTTATTTAATTTTATAACTAACCAAAATTCAATAAGTTACATGTTCTTTGTAATATTTAAAGCAAACTAATCGCCAATAATAAATTAAATAAAAGGAAGAACTAAAAATGCTCAAGATTAATCAGGCACCTACCTACCAATAATTTTTAATAATGAGCAATCTTAAGCAATTAGTAAGTATCAGGAGGCGAATGTATAGGTAATACAAATGTTTTTACTGCAGTAGTTATTTTAACTTTCTTGTAGGTTTTGAACAGTTTCAAGAAACTACATCGTACAAGTCAGACGGTTTTTGCTGGAGATGAGAAAGCATTGATAGCTGCCAGGGTAAAAATAAACGAAGAATATTCAAAGACCAAGCTTATAAAAGATGAGGAGGCTATTAAAGCGGTAATATACGCATTTCAATTACATTGCTTATTTCGATTCTCCTGTAATTACTACAATTAATGCACTTAGTACTAGTACTTATTTGTGAAGATTGATTGGTTTTACATGTCACAATATTTCAGATGGTAAAATTAGGCGAAGATGTAGCAAAGGAATTGAAGGCACAAGTGATACAAACTAAAAAAATTAGACCGGGTGTTTACAGTAAGTATCAAATATAACCACTGTACAAGCACAGGGTTTGTTTAAAGAGATTGACGACGTCCATGGCCAAGTGGTTTATACGCTGGGTTTCATGGTGTCGCCAACTTGAGAGGTCTCAGGTTCGAATCCCGGTGCAGTGCAAACGTTTGTGTGATGAATACGAGCATTTGTACACCAGTCATAGATCTTTAATATGTATTACTTTATAAATATATATATATATGTACAATATATGTATTGTAACCATTACTCTAGTATCCCTTAACTAATTGGTGTGTTGGACAAAGAAAAAGAGATTTATTTGAACATTATAACTTAAGATTTAGAACTTAAGACAGTATTTAAAATATTATTTTGTTACAGTGGCTAAAATAACTAAGGATACCATCAAGTTTGATAATAAACCATTTGTTACAAGTGCTGTAGAAGAAAAACAAAAAGACAAGAACACAAATAGACCTTGCTGTCAAAATGAAGCAGGAAATAAATAAAAGCTATTATTTTAAATAGTCAATTGTAACTCATAATGTTTTTTGTAGCTTATAGTGTGTCTTGGAAAACCACAGTGGTGGGTGTACTGAGTTTGACCAACAGGAAAAATGCTAGTTATTTAATTCTGAAAAAGTGTAGTTTCTTCCTCTATGTGTCGATATGTAGATATCATCAAGAAAATGAAACTGAAGTAGGACTTGATATTTTCAATGACACATTTTTTTTTGTAAGCAATTGGGGTATTTTAGAAAATATATTATTTGGGGAAATATTAAGTATACCAATCTATTAAGTCTTTTAAGGTGTGATCTACAATCGATACTGAATCCAAAAATATAGTTTTTAGAATTTAGTTCTGTTTGTCTGTACGTAAGTTTGGGATAAACTCAAAAAGTACTGCATTGATTTACTTCAAATTTGGCAAGAATATTATTAGGAAGTCGGGTCAACATATAGGCTACTTATTATCACACTATCACCTACAGGGAACAAGCAGTGAACCTTTATTTCAAACTAACTCCACGCGTACGAAGTCGCGGGCGGCCACTAGCATAAATTAATTTCATAACATTTTCCCCCAAGTATAATTTTTTCTCTTACATACCACAACAATGGCATAACAGAGAACAGTGGCCATATTGCAGTGGGGATCCGTAGCGATTTTAGTTGAGAATGCAGATTTATAAAGCCGAGAATTCCATAAATTGCAGTGGTCAGGGCCGGATCTACCATATGGCTTTTTGGGCTTCAGTCCAGGACCCCGTAGATACAAGGGGCCCCCAGCTAAGTCAAAGTCAAAAATAAACGATAATGCGAACGAATCCATAATTTTATAAAATTAATTAAACAGATAGTGTCCGTGATGCTAGCGTACCCACGATCAAAATACGGTTTTTCGTTATGCCATTAAATACTGCGTAAATAGTGCCAAATTAGTGTAAAAATAAAAAAAATAGTGCCTCTTTAATTTAAGAAATAAAGACCATTTTTACTGTGTACGCTACCATGACGTCAAGCTAGCGTACCCATGGCCGACCCCAAGAACGGCATATATATAAGCAACGAAATTGACACACAAAAATAGTTCGTAAATAGTGCCCTGGCTTTACAAAATTTCATAATCAATACTCTTAAAGGACCAAAGATATTGAACTAAACATTCTTAGCTGGCGTCAACTTGGCGTACCCATAATAGTTCTCATAGAAAATGAACTTTTCTCGTTATCAATTCTATATGTATAAATAGTGTGTCAAATAGTGCCTCTAACAGTAAAAGTATTTTATGTTAATTCGCAGTAAAACAATATAAAAAAGCAATAAAATTATATTTATATATGAAGTACAGTCATGTACAGAAGTGATAATATTTTCGTAGTATAGTAGGTAAGTAAGGTACTTAGTAGGTAGTTTGAAATTCTTATATGAATTTATGATTGGTGAATTCGAATTGAAATAAAATATCTTTTTATAAAAAGTACCTATTTATTTTAGTAAAAATACATTTAGATAATCTCTTAGTGCATAAATTAATTTTGTGTGTAACTGTACTACAATACATTTGTTCCTAGAATTTAACATCCTCTTTAGGTATTGTTGTGATGCGAATTCACATAAAATACTTTTACTGTTAGAGGCACTATTTGACACACTATTTATACATATAGAATTGATAACGAGAAAAGTTCATTTTCTATGAGAACTATTATGGGTACGCCAGGTTGACGCCAGCTAAGAATGTTTAGTTCAATATCTTTGGTCCTTTAAGAGTATTGATTATGAAATTTTGTAAAGCCAGGGCACTATTTGCGAACTATTTTTGTGTGTCAATTACGTTGCTTAAATATATGCCGTTCTTGGGGTCGGCCACTTAGATTAAAACAAAAAGGGTAGATACGGCACTAGCCTCACAAAAGTGATCCGCATAAATTGTGGCCCAAGGCCACAATCGCTTTAGTCACAACTTGACATGCAAATGACGTACATGTAAACGTCAAAAAGAAATATTGCTAAAATTTTGTGATTATAAGATAAAACAATGCCTAAGTGTTGTTTTTAAAAGTGCTCAAATTGCTCAAGTACTAAAAATAAAACCGACGGCATCACTTTTCATTCGTAAGTACTATAAAATATATTTTTTCATAAAAATGCTGTTTGTTTTGAATCTTATTCGGTATTTGTTATTAAGAAAAAGACAACAACACTTGTAAACGTTTGTATGAGGGAGAAAAGCATAAGCTTAAATATTTGCCATTGTAATGTCAGTCGAGAGTAAAAATTGGGTAGAGTCAACAAAAAAAATATTTCGTAATTTTTTTTTGGAATATTAATTTATGTAGGTAAAAAATATGCTGCATTTATTAAACTCATTACATTTTGGTTTCTTCGAAGAGGTTTATTTATTTTTTCAGACATTTTAGCTTTAATATACTCTGTACTTACAGAAATGGCGTTTTCATTCTTTGTAGGGTTTAAAATTGTTTTTGTAATCTTCTTCTTTTTCCAGTGCCTCTTCAATCCTGAAGATTGGCCGTTAGCTTCCTGTATGTAGTTCTATCAGCAGCCAGCCGGAACAACTGTTCGACGGTGGCAATACCGGTCCACTCCCGGATATTCCGGAGCCATGACTTTTTTCTTCGCCCAGCACGTCTCTTTCCGTCCACTTAGCCTATCATTATCAACTGCAGCAGCATGTATCTATCGTTCCTGAGCACGTGGCCATGATATTCTATCTTGCGCTTTTTGATAGATGAATTTAATTAGATTGATTTTAAAAGAGAAACAAATTGTCTTTATTTGAAGAAAAATGATTTCAAATTTTATTTTTAAGTGCTTTAAATTAAATAATTTGTTCCTTTTTTGGTGTGTAAATACTATTGTACCATGATATATGTAATGCATATATTTTTGTAAATATGCTGCTGAACCGACGAAATTCGTACCGCTAACAGTCCATGAATATTATTATCTTCAAATTTTTAGCTTCATTGAATTAACGATTTTACAACCGAAATAAAACAAATACAAAAGAAAATCAATCAGTTTGGTATTTAATGTAATAGATGTAGAGAAAATTATTGAACAATGTGTACTTCAATGGTGTATTAAAATCGGGGTTAATTGATTGCCAGGTTTTTGGCACAATATTCTTTATACACAGTCATCCCTTAACCTGTCAGTACCTTAAGACTTTTTTCGATTTAGAATGGTTCTATGTTTTGGAAACTAATACCAAAAGGATAGAGCGCGTGAAAGTTTGGGAGAGAAGGCTTGTAAAGTCACTTCTAAGTAAAAATTGTACCAAGACGTGACGTCATGGGAAATTTCATGTCAACATATCTCTGTAATGTTTTAATTATGTGAATAAGAAATAAATACTTGTCCAATACTTTTATTAATCTACCTGGCCGACGAAGAAAAAAAGGTTTTGTCATCAACCCTGTTGCCACACAGTAGGTAGGTACCTAGTAAGATTCTTACTTCTGTTATAAAGCCCAAGGCATAACTTATGTTTATTTTTATTTATCCATGATGATTATTGTTTTTGTTATTTAATTTTACCTTTATATTTTTTTATTATTTAAATGAATAATTTAAAGTATAGTTTAGATTAGATTTATAAAACAAGCAATTCATGCTTAGAAGAGAAATATAATAAGTGTTTCGGATTAGATTCTTTTAAATACTGTAGACGATGAAAATTTCCAAATCCAGCAGTACAAGGTATCTTAAAAAATTGTTGACGGTATTGTATAAAAGACCTACTTTTAGTAGGTACGCTTGTTAACTGATTTTTGATCAGGTGATATAATAATGTGTGTCAAATCAAATCAATTTATGATTGGTATTGAAATATAATAAGTGTAAAGTTTCTAGTAAAAATTGTATCTCGATTAGATTCGTTTAAACACTGAATACAATAAAAATGACCACATCCAGCAGTATAAGATACCTTAAAAAAATGTTGACGTTATCATGTAAAAATCCTACTTTTAGTAGGTATACTTGTAAACAGTTTCATTCCCTCAGCTTTTCAAAGTAGATTGAAAATTGCTCAATGTGGAATTTTTTTATTGAATTTTAATAAAAAACTTATATTTAATAAAAAATACTTTTATTTTTTTCTCTGACGCTACTCTGTAGTGACGTCGAGTACTGGTCGCGTGATTGGTCGGTAGCGCAGTGACGCGGATCTCGCCGTCCCGTTCGCGCTGCCGTTGAAACTTATATTGCTGTTTCGTTCGTTCGATAGTATCTTTACAAACAGGTGGATGTGTGAGTGTTGCATATGTAGTAAAATGGGATCAGTTTTTGTTTGATGCAAGTAAGAGCGTACCGTATCTACCCTTTTTGTTTTAATCAAAGAGTACTTATATATACTGGAAAAAGAGACCAATCTTCCCAGTATTTTTTGTTAACAAGTCTCTAGCGCCATCTATCCGCCACACACAAAATTATATTCGTATTGTATCAGTCTGCATACTTTGCTTGCTCAATTTCTATTTTCATTTTACTTTTTTATTACTATGAGGTTTGCTGGGTGAATACTGATATTTTATAAAATAATATGAATATCATATTAAATATATACAAAACAGAATATATCTTAAATAGAATAATAAAACTTCAGCAAACCTCACAATAAGATATCTAGTTTTAACGGAAAGAAAGGTTCTATAAAATAAAACTGGGTTCATATTTATTTATTTTTATTTTTTGTTTTTAAACATTTCACAAAGTAAGTTTCGGCTTGGTTTTGCAGATAGACGTTAACATTGTCTTTCTTTCTTCTACCAGAAAATTTTATTTATATCTTTACAGTAATGTCGTACAAAAAATCTTAAAGAGTAATTATATAATAGTTATTTATTATACAAGAGTGGAAAGTTCCTTTTTAACCGCGTGCTCGATTTGGATGACCGAGCAAGCGAAGGATTCTAAAGTTGAATCACGAGCGCAGCGAGTGATTCTAAATTAGAATCCTGAGCGTCAGCGAGGGAAACAAACGAGCACAAGGTGAAAAATCTTTCC